TCTTTTCCAGTTTTCCCAGCAGTTTTTTTTTCAAAGGGTAGGTTCTTATCCCAGAAGCTGAATTTATCAAATAATATGTCACTATAGTCATTGACCACTGTGTCTTGCATACTTAACCTATTCCACTGATCCACCACTCTATTTCTTAGCCAGTACCAAGCAGTTTTGATGATTGCTGCTTTATAATACAATTTAAGATCTCGAATGGCTAGGCCACCTTCCCCTGCATTTCTTTTCATTGGTTCTCTTGATATTCTGGATCTTTTGTTCTTCCAAATGAATCTTGTTATTATTTTTTCTAACTCTATAGAATAATTTTTTGGTAGTTTGATTGGTATGGTACTGAATAAGTAAATTAGCTTAGGTAGAATTGTCATTTTTATTATATTAGCTCAGCCTACCCATGAGCAACTGACGTTTTTCCAATTATTTAGATCTGATTTTATTTGCGTGAAAAGTCTTTTGTAATTGTGTTCATAGAGTTCCTGGGTTTGTTTCGGGAGGTACACTCCTAAATATTTTATAATGTGTACAGTAAGTTTAAATGGAATTTCTCTTTCTATCTCTTGCTGTTGGGCTTTGTTGGTAATATATAGAAATGCCAATGATTTATGTGGGTTTATTTTATAGCCTGCAACTTTGCTAAAGTTGTTTATTATTTCAAGTAGTTTTTTACTTGATTCTCTGGGATTCTCTAAGTATAACATCATGTCATCTGCAAAGAGTGATAGCTTTGTTTCTTCTTTGCCTATTCTAATGCCTTCAATGTCTTTTTCTTCTCTTATTGCTAAAGCTAACGTTTCCAGTACGATGTTGAATAACAGTGGTGATAATGGACATCCTTGTTTCACCCCCAATCTTATTGGAAATGCTTCTAGCTTGTCCCCATTACATATTATGCTTGCTGAAGGTTTTAGATAGATGCTATTTATTATTTTAAGGAAGACTCCATTTATACCTATGCTCTCTAGTGTTTTTAATAGGAATGGATGTTGTATTTTGTCAAAAGCTTTTTCTGCATCTATTGAGAAGATCATGTGGTTTCTGTTAGTTTTGGTGTTGATATGATGGATTATGGTGATAGTTTTCCTTATATTGAACCAGCCCTGCATTCCTGGTATAAATCCTACCTGGTCATAGTGTATTATTCGTGTGATGAATTGCTGTAATCTATTTGCTAATATTTTGTTTAAAATTTTTGCATCTATATTCATTAGAGAAATTGGTCTATAATTTTCTTTCTCTGTTTTGACTCTTCCTGGTTTAGGTATCAGTACCATATTTGTATCATAAAAAGAATTTGGTAAGATTCCTTCTTTACCTATTTTACCAAATAGTTTATATAGTATTAGAATTAATTGTTCTTTAAATGTTGGGAATGCTCTTCTTTAAGTGATGTCAATTACCCAGGAGTTTCAGGTTCCAAGTTTTAGATTCCTAACAATTTATGGCTTGGTTTTGTGGTGAGTGCCTATGAAAGATAGAGTCACGATCTGGAATTCTGGGAATTTTATAGCTCTGTATGAGAAAGGCCATCTTAACAATGAGTGCTGCCCAACAATGCAATGTGCTGTCTCACTAAACAGTCTTTAAGTGGAAATTGGAAGACCACATAGGAGAGAAGATGCAGAAGGAGTTCATGTTTAGGAAAGGGTTGTACCAAATGGTCCTAACTCTATGAGTCCATTTGATAGGGTTGTATATGAAGGGAGGGACAAAGGGACAAAGCATTAATCCTTTTTCTTTTGGCCTTATATTGTGAAGGAGAGAAACTCTATCTGTTGAGTCTGAGGCATTTTGTGAAATTTACTAGGTCAAATGAAAGTCCAATGTATTTTGATTCAAAGTTGGGCTGTTTGATCTCACAGAAGGGCTTTTCATCTCTCTTTGATCAAGTTTTAAGTTTTGACTAAGGTGCTGTTTGAGACCAGGGCACCATTTATTAGTGCTGCTGTCATGTTGCATACTTAAATGATGAATGGTTTGTTAAAGTGGAAAATGCTCAAACACCCTAGTCCAGGGCTGGCCCTGGGCAGTAAATTGTAAAAGTGGTTTGTCTTTGCTTCATCCTTTCCTCTTATCCCCTTCAGTGCCCATATCCTGTCCCCTGTCCCACCCCCCTAGCAGTCAATGTTTTTATGGCGCCCACTTCTTTCAGAGAATCATAGAATTCAATTCAACTCAATAAACATTTACTAAGCACCAACTGTGTGCATTGCACTCTGTTAGACTTTGGGAAATGCAAAGACAAATAACTCTAAAAATTGTTTCCTGTCTTCAAGGAATTTCTTTATCCTTTCTTTTTTTCTGAGGGGGGATGGGGTGAGGTGGGAAGTGAATACAATATGTCAACAGACAAGTAAATAAAAGATAATTTCAAGAATTACACATCACTACGATCTAGAATGCTTAGGAAAAGCATATAAGGCACCTTGGAGGAAGCTAAGGATCCTAAGATACAGAGGTGACTAGGAAATACATTCCGGGCATGCAGAACAGCCTGTCCATAGTCACAGAGGTGATAGAGAAATGTTCCAGTTTGGCTGGAACAGGGACAATTTGGCCACATTTGGCTGGAACCCAGAAGGTATAAAGGGAAGTAACATAAACTAAGCCTGAAAAGATAAGCTAGAGCCAGCTTGTGAAGGGCTTTAAATGTCAACCCAAGGCATTTGAATTTTATTCTAGAGTCAGAGGGGAGCTGCTGAGGCTTCTTGCCCAGGGAAATGGCCTAGTTAGATTTAGGCTTTAGGAGCAGTAGTCTGGTAGCTGGATAAAGAAAGGAGAGTCTGGGAGCAGGGAGACCTTATAAGAGTATTGGTCAGGGATTCTTATCCTTTTTTTGTGTGGTGGACCCCTTGGGCAGTCTGGTGAAACCCTCTCAGAATAAAGTTTTTAAATGTATTAAATGAAATACTTCAGAGGAAAACAATTATATAGAAATACAGTTATCAGTTATCAAAATTAAACACACACACACACACACACACACACACACACACACAAAATCATAGATCCCAGGTTAAGAATTCCTGCCGCAAGTGTAAAGTTTGTAAAATTTGAACCAGGATGAAAGCTATGTAAATGGAAGGGAGGTGAGAGACAATAGTTATATTGTGGAAGTGGAATGGACGAAACTTGGTTAAATGATTACATACAGGTAGGTGAGGGAACATGCCACATTCCTGAGAATTGAGGATGACTTGGAAATTGTGAACCTAAGTGACTTTATCCTCAAGAGAAATGAGGAGATTTGGGTATGTGTGGCAAAATTAGGGAGGAAGATCATGGGTTCCATTTTGGATGTTTTGAGCTAGCATACCTATGGGATTCATTCTATGGAATGAGTCTTAGATCATAAAATATTAGAGCTAATTGGGACTTTAGAATAAAGAGCATTCACTTTTAGAGTTAGACAGAGTCTTGGAGCCATCTAGGCCAATTTATTCAAACTGAGGTGTTTGGGAGTTAAGCTATGGTCCCACTGTCCTCATTTTACAAAAGAACTGATAAGGGAGAATCATGCTTGATGTGGGCCTAAATAGTGAAATTTTGGTTATTGACAGGAGAGATAATCTTGGATGGGAGCATCTTCCCAGTGCTCCTAAAATCATACCAGTAGGAGACCACCTACTTTGTCCATATTCTTGCTTCATTTTGGAAAAGTCTCTGCTTTACTAGGAAATAAATCATCTTGTACTTTTATAGGTAAAGGCTCTCACACTTACAAGCATTGCCAGGAAATTAAATATCAAAGGTTGGAACTAGAACGGACCTTTGAGTCAAGTCCTGCTATGTGTCGGAGGCAGCTCAAACTAGTTCTCTAGAGCCAATTGCCAAGTTTTCAGTGAGAGCATTTACTTCTAAGCAATCAGCAAATACTAAACATCAGGGATTGATTTGTTATTTTGTTGATTGTCTAGACTTAAAAAAGTGTTGGAGAAAATGTTAATAATGAAGATTAAACTTAAAAGTATGTCATATATGCTTTTTTTTTTTTTGGCAAGGCAGTTATTCAATACTTACCAGCATTTACCTCCTCTAATCTACCCCTTCATTTTACAGATGGGGCAACTGAAGACCAGAGAAGTTAAGCAAGTTCCTTATACACACAGATAATGAGGACAGAGCCATAACATAGTAATTTATATTTAGAGTATGTACTAGTCTACCCTTCGTCACATAATGCAAGCTTGGTAATACAGCCAAAATGAAGGAAAATCAGTGTGAATTTGTGGGAAAAAATGAATTGTAGAATATTTTTAAAATTGTAGAACATTTTAAAAGAGGTTTTAATGCCTTCAATATATATGGTAATATGAACTATGTTAATGAAATGTTACCCAGTAGAGTTCCATAGGAGTCCTACTTTAATTAATAGGATAATTAACATAAGAATGTCTCAAACCTGGGTGCCCAGGACTAGGTCTGAGCCCTGACTCTACTACTTGCTACCTATGTGACCTTGATCAAGTGACTTTTCCTTCTTTGGCCTTCATTTTCCTCATATGTGAAATAAGAAGGTCAGTGTGTTTGATTGAAAAGAATGCTCGGTTTGGAGTCAGAAGATAGGAGTTTGAAGCCCAGTCTATGACCCTGGTTTGGTTCCAACTCTGATTAGAGGGATCCTAAGGTCTCTTACAGCCCTAAGTCCTCTATCTACTCCTATATAAATTATGCTTCGAAAGTGTTTCATCCTCACAACACACACATGGAGGGTTGGTAGGGTAGGTATTCCTAATTCATGGAGGAAGAAAGTGAGATTCAGAGTTGAAATTTAATGCTGAAGGTCTTTAAAACTAGGTCTTCAGAATCTAAGGTCAATGCTCAACCCACTATACCACTAATTTCTCTTTCTCTTTCTGCAGTAATCCTCTAAGTACCTTAGGAATGTTCTAAATAAGGTCAGAGAAACCAGAGACATTAATTACTTACCAGTACTTGGACTTGCTTTCAGGGTTTTTTTTTTTTTTATTATTATTTCTTTAAAGAAACAAAAAAGAGAGGCAGTGGACAAAGTTGTGTAATGGATAGAGGGCCAACCTTGGAAGACTTTGGTTCAGGACAAGCTTCTGGCTGGGTGACCCTGAACTGGCCATTTGACCTCTCAGTGCCCCGGACAACTCTTAGGACTACGGTAAGTTGTAGAGTAGATGCCCATCTGCACTAGTAGAGGGAGTTTCATCACAGGGAGTTCCCTATACCAATGAAATCACAGGAACACACAGACAAGCATATCTATAGCTTTGTCAGGACTTTAAAAAAAAGCATGATTTATTGTAGCTGGCACTTCTCTATGGTATCTTTAGAGGAAAAACCAGTCTTGCCAGTCGGGCCACTGGAAAATGAGCAACTCCCACGTGGTTTCAGCAAAACTCAAAAAAAAGCCTGCTCAGAGAGCTCATGTGCAAATCCTGCTTGTGGGTGTGTGGGTGATGGCATGTTGTCCCTCACCCTCTCCTCCCTAGGCACTTCCCCATGCCTGTGTTTGACACCCTTCTACTTCAGGATGCTGCTCTCCTTTACCACTGCCCCTCCCTTGACTTATTTAGGATCTTAACCTCTGTTGGAAAATGACCCAGCCATCATCATTATGGTTTCTCAGGATTCCTACCCAATCCTTTCCTGGATTCAGAAAGCCTATTTGGATCAGGGGACTTAAAATTAGAGGGGACCTGTGGGATCCTCAAGTCTGGCCAGTTTATTTTATAGATAAGACAACTGAGTCAGAGGGAGTGCCCTCATAAGTGAAATCACAGATCTTTTCAATAAGCTATTAAGTACTGGATAATATAAATATGTATATGTATATATATATATACATATCTGTATGTGTATATGTGTATATATATATACATCTATGCATATATACACACACATATATATACGTACACATATGTATGTATATGGACATATAAGTATATGTCTCCTTAGGAAATACAGGCATACTTCGGAGATATTGAGGGTTTGGCTCTATATCATTGCAACAAAGGGAGTCACGTGAATTTTTTGGTTTCCTAATACATATAAAAGTTATACTTACATTATACTGTAGTCTATTAAGTGCACAATTGCATTATATCTAAAAAATTGTACATAACTTGATTAAAAAATGCTTTATTACTTAAAAATGCTAACCGTCATCTGAGCCTTCGGTGAGTCATACATTGTCTCTTTGCTGGTGGAAGGTCTGGCCTCGATGTTGATGGCTGCTGACTGATCAGGGTGGTGGTTGCTGAAGGTTGGGGTGCCTGTGGCAATTTCTTAAAGCAAGACAACAGTGAAGTTTGCCACATCGATCAACTCTTCCTTTCACTTGAACACTTAGCAGCCATTATAGGGTTATTAATTGGCCTGATTTCAATATTGCTGTGTCTTAGGTAACAGGGAGGCCTGAGGAGATGGAGAGAGACCGGCCATGGCGGGTCAGTTAATGGAGCAGTCAGAACATAACACAACATTTAGCTATTAAGGTCAGTGTCTTACATGGGTGTGCTTTGTGGTGCCTTAAAACAATTGCAATAGTAACATCAAAGATCACTCATCACAGTTCATAACAGATGTAATAATAGTGAAAAAGTCTGAAATATTTCAAGAATGACCAAAATGAGACACAGAGACATGATGTGAATGCATGCTGTTGGAAAAGTGGTGCTGATGGACTTGCTTGAAGCAGGGTTGCCAAAAACCTTCAATTTGAAAAAACCAAGCAAACCAAAACCCAAAATAACCTCCTCCCTCACCCGCTCCCTTCCCCCAGTATCTGCAAAGTACAAAGCCAAGTACAATACAACCACGTATGCCAGTAGAGGACTGAGGCAGCTAGAGGAATTGTTTCACTCTACATTTCTACATCTCTGGTACTTAGCACAGTGGCTTGGCGTATAGTGCGCTCTTAGAAAATGTTTGTGGATTGATTGATTAACTAAGTTCAAGAGATCACCTTTGCCTGAAGTAGACAATTAATGGGGGCAAGAATGATGTTTTGTGGGTATCTTGGTAATGGCTTTCATTCTCACTTCTCTTTTATTCTCAGAGAAGCTGCCTCTCTATTTGCTTTTGTAACAAGAACAACAACAACAACCACCACAACTTTCATTTAGATTGTGCTGTTAATGTTCCATTGTCTGGTCATTTCACTTTTAGATGTAAGCAGTGCCCCATCTCTTCACTTCCTGGATATAGATACTGCTTCACCCCACTCACCTCCCTCAGATGTCTAGAGCTGGATTGTAGGCCTACAAAGTGAAGGGGTGAGACAACATCTCTGCCTTTAAAGTCTGGCCTGTAATAATTAGGTTTAGCCAAACCCTTGTTGTTTTTAAAGGCTGGACCCGCAAATAAAAAAGTGTGAAATGTATTTGAAACTTGCTGATGCTGATATTTAAAACAGGAAAATCCATGGACCATCATAACCTGCTCCCTCCCCCTCCACCCTACCCCTAGTGTAAATTGATTGAGAACAATAAAACCTCAGAAGTCTGAAAGCTAAGAACAAAAGGGAACTTTTATTCACATCTTGTTGGGAACTCTGAGAAAGGTCAGATCATTTCCCCCTCATCAACCTTCTCCATCAAAAAAATGCATTGCAGATACCCTTGTTTTTCTTGTCTAAGCTTTAGCTGGGACAGGCCTTCTCTAATGGCCAGGTAAAATTGTTAAGCAATGCTAAGGCCTCTAGCTTCTCTTTTTCAGGCACTATTAGCTTTTTGTTTTTATCCAGCTTCTGTAGGGCCTGGATAAATTACACTACGTTTCCTTTCTCCTTCTCCTTCCTCCTACCTGCCCCTCTCCAAAACAAACAAACAAACAAACCAAAACAAATACACAAACAAACATTTATATTAGGTGCTCTTAACCTTTTTTGGTTCATGAGCCTGTTGGGGAGTCTTACCAGCCTGTGGACCTTCTCAAAACAAAACAAACAAAAACTGTCTATTGCTTACATTCGTATTTGAAGACAATGCTAAATTTCAACTAGAGGTTGGTGAAAATAAGGATCTATATTTTTTCGCATCCAAGTTCATGGACACCTTAAAATCTATCCATGAACCAGGTTAAGAACCCTAGCTATAGACATTATCAATTAAAGGAAGATGGATATGTAGGTGAGGTGGTAGGAGAGGACAAGGGGAAGCCCCATCTCTTTTCCTGGGTGATGAAGGTTAGAATATTTTTGTGTTGATTGTAAGCATTTACACTTCTGGGTCTTTCTTCCTTCCTTCCTTCCTTCCTTCCTTCCTTCCTTCTTTCCTGTCTTTTCTTTCTTTCTTTCTTTCTTTCTTTCTTTCTTTCTTTCTTTCTTTCCTTCTTTCTTTCTTTCTTTCTTTCTTTCTTTCTTTCTTTCTTTCTTTCTTTCTTTCTTTCTTTCTTTCTTTCTTTCTTTCTTTCTTTCTTTCTTTCTTTCTTTTCTTTCTTTCCTTCTTTC